TGGAATATTGTATATATCCCTACAATGGAGTATTGTTCATCCTTAAAAGGGGAAAAAAATTCTGACACTTACTATAACACGGATGAACTTTGAAGACATTATTATGTCTAAGTAAAAGAATCCAGTCCCCCCAAAAAAGCAAATATTGCATAATTTCACTTGTATTAGGTATCCAGAATAGTCAAATTTATGGGACTCAGAAAGAATTGTGGTTGTCATTGGCTGGGTAGAGGGTGAATGGAAGTGAGTATTTTACAGGTATGGAGTTTCCACTGGGGAAGATGAAAATTCCAGAAATAGATGGTGGGTCATGGCTGCACAGCAATGCGAATGTACATAACGCCACTGAACAGTATACTTAAAAATGGTTAAAAGATTAAACTGTAGGCATATTTTACCACAACAAAAAAATCACACAGAAAAAACACGTGCTGCCTGGTCCCCACACCTGTTAAATCAGAATCTTTCCATGATAGGAAAGTTCTCTGCATTTTTTTCACTACCAACACCCAAGATAGGGAACTCCAGAATTCATAACTTGGAATTCGGGAACTCACCTTTCCAGAAGTCCCTAACATTGTTTTTGGTTCTCGCTCTCTCATTCATACAAGAGGACTGAAAGCAATTCCTCTTCATTACTGAGTCTTCCAGCCTGTTGCTGACTCAGGTGGCCCAGATCCAAGAATTAACTGAAGGTTCCGGAAGCAGAAAGCTCTGCGGTATACTGGGTATTTCTCTGGCTTGTAATTGTCTGCATATGTCTAATCCCCCTTGATAGTCCAGAAAGAGGAGCAATGATTACTGAAGTGCTGTGATTTCAGAATCAAGGAAGAGGGTCTCAGTGAAATCTGTAATTCACAGCTCTGATGGAGTCCTTCTGTATGTAACTTTTTTTTTTTTTTTAAATGCAGGGTCTCACTCTGTCACCCAGGCTGGAGTGCAGTGGCATGATCATAGCTCACGGCAGCCTCAAACTCATGGGCTCAGATGATCCTGCCACCTCAGCCTCCCGAGTAACTTAGACTACAGGTGTGCGTGTACATTACTTTTAAATACGTATTTCCAGCCTTCTTTGGGCTGCAGCACAACTGTTGGGTGACTCTTAGCCATGGGATGATAAAGAGAGCTTATTTTTCAAAACTGTGTGTTCTTTTTATTTTGAAAAATCGCAGACCTCAAGTATAAGTGAGCAAATAACACAATGACCTATATAATCACCAAAATGCATCAATAGTTAACATTTTTTGCCATTTTTATTTTTATTTTGCTGAAAATTTAGGCACAGGTTGCAATAATGTCACTTCTAGATAATGCAGCCTGTATCTTCTGTAGAAAAAAAATTTCTTATGTAACCAAAATATAAATATCACACTCAAGAAATTTAACATTATTATATAACATTTATTCTACATGTGAATTTCCCCAATTGTCCCAACGATATCTGCCATTGCTACTTATTTATTAATCCCAGGCGTGATCAAGGATCATACATTGCATATAATTGTTAGGTTCATCTAGTTTTCTTTAATCTAGGAGAGTCTCCTGATGTGTGTGGGTGGGTGGGTGTGCACGTCTTTCATGACATTGACTTTTTAAAAATAATTTCAAGCCATTTGTCTTGCAGAAAATTGCTCAAATAGAATATACCCTATTATTCCCTCTTAATTTAAAAAAAAAAAAAAGCTAAACATATTGAGAAAACTACATAGGGCCAAGTGCAGTGGCTCACGCGTGTAATGCCAACACTCTGAGAGGCCGAGGCGAGTGGATTGCTTAAGGCCAGAAGTTCGAGACCAGTCTGGCCAACATGGTGAAACTCCATCTCTGCTAAAAATACAAAAATTAGCCAGGCATGGTGGCACATGCCTTTAGTCCCAGCTACTCAGGAGGCTGAGGTGGGAGAATGGCTTGGACCCAGGAGGCAGAGGTTGTAGTGAGCTGAGATCACGTCGCTGCACTCCAGCCTGGGTGACAGAGCAAGACTATGTCTCAGGAAAAAAAAAAAAAAAAAAAAAAAAGGGGGGGGGGGGGGGAGGGGGGGGGGGAAGGGGAAAAAAAAAAAAAAAAGGAAAGGAAAGGAAAAGGAAAAGGAAAGGGAAGGGAAGGAAGAAGGAAAGGAAGAAGGAAATGAAAGGAAAAAGGAAAGGAAGGGAAAGGGAAGGGAAGGCAAAGGAAAGGAAAGGAAAGGAAAGGAAAGGAAATGCATAAGTAAAATGTCCTTGTCAGGGTATTTTATCAGAAGGCACATGATGTCAATTGGTTAAGATTCCCTTATTATTAAAGGGAGAAGAACAGTATCTGGCCTTCATCTCAGCAGCAGGCAGTCTCTGAATACCTCTGCTTTGCCTGGCACTGTGCTATGTTCTGCAGACCTCAAAGATGCCCTCAAAAAATTCACATTCTGTGGGGAAACAGACATATTCATTCACTCATTCAGTCAATAACATTTCTTGAGCTCCAACAATGCGCCAGACACCACTAAGTACTAGCAACAAGGACAATATTTAAATATTTAACAAGTTTGGCATGAGCACAGAATCAGAGAAGACGCTCTGCTAAGTGCACTAATAACCCTTAAGTTGTTGTTGGATCATGGGGAAACCAGGGAAAATGCAGAGGAGCAAGCGGGATGGTTGGGATACTGGGGAAGGGGGACAAGCTTCAGAGTAGCTGCTATTTATCAATGAGTACAGAGTATTTCAACATTTTAACAGCTGGGAATGACAGCGTTGGCTTGGGCATGGAGATGAACAATTCATCTAAAGTCCCTGACCTCATGGATTGATCTTCTAGTGCAGGAGTGGGTGAACTTTTTTGGTAAATGACCAAATAGTAAATATTTTTGGGCTTGCAGGCCCTACATTCTCTGGACAGAGAGGCAAAGTCCCAACTACTCAACTCTGTCTTTGTAGCACAAAAGGTAGTGTGTCAGTCCGTTTTGCACTGCTATAAAGAAATACCTCACACTGAGTGATTTATAAGAAAGGAGATTGCTTTGGTGCGTGGTTCTGCAGGCTATACAAACATGGCGCCAGTATCTTCCTCCACTGAGGACTCAGGAAGCCTTTACTCATCGTGGAAAGCAAGGGGGAAGCAACTGTGTCATGTGGCGAGAGAGAGAAAGAGACAGAAAGAGAACGATGCCAGGCTCTTTTAAACAACCAGCTCTCATGAACTAACAGAGTGAGAACTCATTACTGCAGGGAGGGCATCAAGCCATTAATGAGGGTCTGCCCCCCGACCACAACATCTCCCCCTAGGCCCCACCTCCAACATTGGGGATCACATTTCCACATGAGATTTGGAGGGGACGAACATCAAAACTGAGGTAGGCGGCGGGACTTGACTCCAGAGCAGATTGAAGACTGGCTGAAACAGGAAAAAGGCACTCAGAGCTCCTCTCCATCAGGCGTGCTCACCAGTGCCATGACAGTTTACCATTGCTATGGCAGCACCCAGAAGTTACTACCGCTTTCCAGGGCAATGACCCAGAAGTTGCCACCCCTTTCCAGGGCCACCACCCAGAAGCTGCCACTCCTTATCTAAAAATTTCTGAACAAACGGCCCCTTAATTTACATATAGTTAAAAGTGAGTATAAATCTAACTACAGCACTGCCCTGAGCTGCCACTCTCAACACGCTGCCTGTGGGGTAGCCCTGCTCTGCAGGAGCAGTCATGGAGCTGTAGCCAAGTCAGGGCTCTAATGCCACCGCCTCCATAAAGCTGTTTTTTTTTGTTTGTTTGTTTTTTTGTGTGTGTTTTTTGAGACGGAGTTTCACTCTTGTTGTCCAGGCTGGAGTCCAATGGTGCAATCTCTGCTCACTGCAACCTCCGCCTCCCAAGTTCAAGCGATTCTCCTGCCTCAGCTTCCCGAGTAGCTGGGGATTACAGGTGCCATCGCGCCCAGCTAAGTTTTTGTATTGTTAGTAGAGACAGAGTTTCACCATGTTGACCAGGCTGGTCTCAAACTCCCGACCTCAGGTGATCTCCCCGCCTTTACCTCCCAAAGTGCTGGGATTACAGGAGTGAGCCACTATGCCCAGCCTAAAGCTGCTTTCTTCTACCACCAGCTCACTCTTAAATTATTTCCTAAGAGAGGCCAAAAAAATTCCCAGGCTAAGCTCCAATTCTGGGGCTTACCTGCCCTACAACAAAACTATATCAAATAGCCACAGACAATAGTAAACAAATGAGTGTGACTATGTTCCAAATAAGCTTTATTTACAAAAACAGGCAGCAGGCTGGATTTGGCCCATGAGCCATGATTGGCAAACCCCTGTTCTAGTGAACAAGACAGACATACTCATTTGTCCTTTTATGCTACAAATACTTATCCAGCATCTTCTACATGGCAAGTATTGCACTTGACACTGGTATGCCATGCTGAACAAGACATATGGCTGGGCATGGTGGCTCATGCCTGTAATCCCAGCACTCTGGGAGACCAAGGTGGGTGGATCACTTGAGGTCAGGAGTTCAAGACCAGCCTGGCCAATGTGGTGAAACCCTGTCTCTACTAAAAGTACAAAAATTAGCTGGACGTGGTGGCAGCCGCCTGTAATCCCAGTTACTCGGGAGGCTGAGGTAGGAGAATTGCTTGAACCTGGGAGGCGGAGATTGCAATGAGCCAAGATTGTGCCACTGCACTCCAGCCTGGGTGACAGAGTGAGACTCTGTCTCAAAAAAACAGAAAAAAGACAGATGATGACCTTTGCCCATGTTGCACTTACATGCTGGTGGGAGAGACAAAATCTTATTATGTGAATGCTAAGACAAAAGTCATCAGGAAATACAGAGGGGGCAGTTAACTCATCCTTAGTGTTTAGGGAAGGATTCCTGGAGGAGGGGATGACTGTGTTGTTTGTTTAGCAGCCTGTCAGTGAGATGAGCAAAGTCACCAGAGGGCTCTTGGAGCCTTTTCATCAGGACAGCCTGAGTACTTCCATCCCTTTCCCTGTGGGTTATCTGTCATCACCAGCTCTTCCCTTGTGTCCCCCAGTCTCTGAACAGCTACAACGACGGAGACTACGAAGGAGCCAGGCGGCTTGGGCGGAATGCTAAGTGGGTAGCCATCGCCTCCATCATCATTGGCCTTCTCATCATCGGCATTTCTTGTGCAGTTCACTTCACAAGGAAGTAAGTAGGCTTTCTGAATCCCTCCCTATGTCAACTGCCCTTTCTCGAATGCCCATTGGAATCTGTTAGGGTAGATTAGGTTATGCTCCAGTAACAACCCCAAGCCAAAGGGTTTTCATGTTTTCTTCTCAGAATAAATCTGTCCCAGTCCAGAGGGACACAGCAACATTGTGGATCTTCTAGTGCAGGAGTGGGTGAACTTCTTTGGTAAATGACCAAATAGTAAATATTTTTGGCCTTACAGGCCCTACATTCTCTGGACAGAGGGACATAGTCCCAACTACTCAACTCAGTCTTTGTAGCACAAAAGTAGTGTGTTAGTCCATTCTGCATTGCTGTAAAGAAATACCTCAGACTGAGTGATTTATAAAGAAAGAAGATTTGGATCCTTCTTTGGATCAACAATATGGATCCATTCATGGATCATATAGGTCAGTAGAAGGTCTCTCCTCCACACAGTCACACAGGGTCCCACGCTATACAAAGCTCCACCATCTTGTAGCTGCTCTGTCTAGAACAGAAGCCAACAAACTTTGTCTGTAAAGGGCCAGATAGTAAATCTTTTAAGCCTTGCAGGCCATATGGTCCCGATCATGGTCTCTGGCACAGCTACTTAGCTCTGCCATTTTAGCACAAAAGCAGCCATAGACAATATAGAAATGAACAGGCGTGGCTGTGTTCCAATAAAACTTTATTTACAAAAACAGGCATCTGTCTGTGGGCTGCAGTTTGCCAACTTCAGATCTAGAACATGAGGTGTCCTCAGGCAAAGGCGGGGGAGAGGAAGACTGGAGAATCCTACATGGGCTTTTTACTGCCTGGCGACAAATGTCGCTTAGGCTCACATTGACTGAAATCAGTCACATAATCCCACCTAACTGTAAGAGGGTGGGAAATGTGGGAGAGTAAATGGGATATTTAGGATTGCTATTTGCTCTGCCCTAGAACATCATCTGCTAAATAAACTCCTACTTGCATCAAACTAGCATAACTGTTTTAGTTTAAGGGCAGAAGGGTCACCACGTATTTTTGGTATTGACAATGAACTCTCATCTCATAAAAAGACGGATGCTGTTGATGTGTTGTCCCTCTGAACTGGGACAAATTTATTCTGATTTCTTTAACCAGCTCAGATGGGCTCCATCTGCTAGAATCAATAACACTTTCCATCAGAAGTCTGACAGATGGCAAGGTCATGTGATAGGCAACCCAGACCCGGAAATGACAAGCCCAGATCCATCTCTGTCTTGCTATGTAATTTCTGGTAAGACAGATAAGAATGCTGAGAAATTCTTTCACTTTTCTGTCAGAGCGGCATGGCTACTCCTATACCCTTGACCAAAATTCTACACCCATCGAGCTGAGAAGGTCAACCTCTTTCTCTTGGTTGACAAAGGAGGCTTACCGAGTTGGGTGAGGGAGGAAGGAGACCTCTTTTGACATTCCAGATCAGCCAACCCAACCTTGGCAACCAAGAGAGTAACAGATGTCATGGTAGATCCGCTTCCTATCAAACAAGGCAGATCCAGGAACAATCAGTGGCAGCTGGGTAGAGGGGAAGATATCAAAACAGGAAGTGTCACGAAAGAAAAGTAAATGGCTTTGGCCAAAGAAAAGAGAAAAGGACACTCAAACATGAAAGGAAACTCATGGTTTCTTGCCTGCAGGATGGCAAATTTGATGTTGGCCTATGAAGAGAAAGATGGTTGGAGAATACATGTGAATGAATCTGACTATATTCTTCAGAGAAGGTGTAAGGTGCTTGTGAACTTGTGAGCAGGGGAGCCACAGAGTGTGGGTTTAATGGTGCGGTTTTGGCACCACACTGCCTGGACCCAGGTCCCAGCCACCACTTATTCACTGTGAGACCTTCAGCCAATTGTTTAACATTCCTGAACCTCAGTTTCCTCACCTGTAAAATGAGAATAATTCGTTTCATAAAGCTATTGTAAGGTTAATTGGATGACTCACAGAATGTGTAGGTTGGTGTCTCTGTTCTTTAGTGGGTGCACAAAAATATAAATCATTTATTAATCCTATTATTACTATTATTATCAATGTTACTGGGAAAGGACCTCAGAATTCAAGATGTCATTAAATAGAATTCAAGGCTTTATGCTTATGAGCCAAACAAAGGACAGTGTTCCAAGGGAATGAGGCCAAGCCTTGGCTTGGCTCCTGGGAACTTGTGAAAATGCATACTGCCTAGATTAGTGTTTGAGCTAAGTGGGTCATAATAATAGCAGCTGACACTAACATAGACCTTGACATATACCAGGTACTGTTTTAAGCTCTTACATGAATTAATCCTCATTGAGTCTTCACAGCAACCCAAAGAGGTAGATAGGTATTATTATCACTATTTTGCAGATGAGGAAACCGAGGCTCAGAGAGGTGAAGTGACTTGCCCAAAGCCTCACAGCTAGTTAGTGGAAAAAGTAGGATTTAAAACCAGGATAGTGTCACTCTTCAGGCTGTGTTCTTAGCCAAACTCCGCACTGCCTCTAAGTCAATATGTCCCTGCTAGTACACCCAGTAACAAAGGCCAGTAAGTGGTACTTGCTTTGTGGCTAACTCCAGGGTTTATTTACGGGGGAATGGTATGGTGAGGTTTCAACTTACAGAAATGTGTGATGAGTCAGGGCCAAGGTTCACAAAATCAAAGGAGTACAGGGGTCAGGGAAAGGACATACATGAGGTAGCCTGGTTATAGGACAATAGGAAGTGGTGGGGACCATGGTAATTTCAAAAGCACAGTTTAAAGGAAGCAGCCACCACTCTGCTCCAACTGTAACCACTTACCATGCAGGCTTCATGGGGCTCATTTTTCAAGAGATGTTGGAAATCTGGAATTTTATGTAAAATCTGATTTTTAGATATTGACAAGCAATTCACATTACCAAAACACAGAAACAATATTTGCAGCCTAGACACTATCTACTTTGCAGTCTCTAGTGGACAGTCAGCTTTCAAAGATCAGTTTGCTCATGGCAACTCCATCCAAGAAGTGTTGGAAGGGATCTAGAAGCATTCGTATGTAGACTTTCTCCAATTTTAATACAAGTGTTTTTATCTGGGGATGAAGTGTTTCTGCTTGTGATTGAATGTCTCTGCTTGTGATTGAAGCTTCCTTAGGAATAAAAGCTATGAGAAGGAGTAGCCTCTCTGTTCCTTCTTCCTAAAAGGCACTGTTCACAATGGTTAGAGCCTATGATTTAATACCAGCTTTATCAGGATTCAGATCCTACTTCTACCACACAGGCTATCTGGGCAAATTATTAAACTCTCTCTGCCTCAATTTCCCTAACTATAAAATGAGAATTGAATTATTTCCCCATCTGTAGGGTCAAATTCCTTCTAGATGCCATTCCCTCTGTTATTAAAGAAAACAGGCCAGGCATGGTGGCTCATGCCTATAATCCTAGCACTTTGGGAGGCAGAGATGGGAGGATCTCTTGAGGCCAGGAGTTCCTTGAGCAGCCTGGGCAACATAGCTAGACCCCATCTCTTTTTTTTTTTTTTTTTTTTGAGACGGAGTCTTGCTCTGTCGCCCAGGCTGGAGTGCAGTGGCTCGATCTCAGCTCACTGCAAGCTCTGCCTCCCGGGTTCAGGCCATTCTCCTGCCTCAGCCTCCCAAGTGGCTGGGACTACAGGCGCCCGCCACCTCGCCTGGTTAGTTTTTCTGTATTTTTTAGAAGAGACGGGGTTTCACTGTGTTAGCCAGGATGGTCTCGATCTCCTGACCTCGTGATCCGCCCGTCTCGGCCTCCCAAAGTGCTGGGATTACAGGCTTGAGCCACCGCGCCTGGCCTAGACCCCATCTCTACAAAAAAAAATTTTTTAATTAGCTGGGCATGGTGGCACACACCTGTATTCCCAGCTATTTGGAAGGCTGAGATGGGAGAATGACTTGAGTCCAGGAATTCAAGGCTGCAGTGAGCTATGGTCATGCCATCACATTCTAGCCTACGTGACAGAGTGAGACCCTGTCTCAAAAAATAAATAAATAAATTTTAAAAGAGAGTTCCATGGAGAAACTCAAATTTAAAGGCTTTGTCATATGCATGTATCGGCAAGAGAAGGCGGGGGGAGACAGAGAGAAAGAAGGAAGGAGGCAGAAAATAGCCGTTAGAGAATGAAATCAATTCTGTCTTCCAAGTAACACGGCCAATTTCTCAGTAATCCTTTGAAATTAAACCTCCCAGCCCTCATTTATGGGAGGAATTAAATGGCAATGTGAAACTTCTAAGGCAAAAGTGCCCAAGCTTTACACTCCATAAGAGTTACCTGGAGAGGTTTAAAAAAAGTTAGCATCCGAGCCTCACCTCAAAAGATTCCAACTTGCTAAATCAGAAGTGAGGCTCAAGAACATCTGCATGTTTCAGCTGCCCCTGCTCCCAACCTGAGGATTCAGACGCAAGTGGCGGGCAGAACAGTCTTTGCCAAACCTTGGCAAACATCCTGCATCAAAGTCCACAAGGAAGAACGTGCGGATGGTGGCCATTCATGGACTGGCCAGTTTTCATTTACAGCAAACTCATCATCCTAATCTGCTATGTCTAACCCAATGCTAGGGAGGGGAATGGAGTTGCCACCTAGCAGGTCTACCCACAGGCAGGCTCCTTTGCAACAATCTGTTTCCACAGAGGGGCTGGAAAAATCTGACATTAGAGGAGTCGAAGCCTGACCCAAAACCCATGAATCTGTGAGTTTTCTGAGTTTATTCATTTCCAAATGCTGTCTGGGGGCCGGGTGTGATGGCTCACACCTGTAATCCAATACCTTGGGCTGACGTGGGAGGATCTCTTGAGGCCAGGAGTTTAGGACCAGCCTGGGCAACATAGCAAGACCCTGTCGCTCCAAAAAATATTTCTTTTAAATTAGCTGGGTTTGGTGGTGCACACCTGTAGTCCTAGCCATTCAGGAGGCCGAAGCAGGAGGATCTTTTGAGCCCAGAGATTGAGGCTGCAGTGAGCCGTGATCGTACCACTGCACTCTAG